AAGGGGAGGAGGAGAGGAGGGATGAGGGGAGGGAGGCGAGGAGGTTGGAAGAGGTGGGGGTGAATGGGAGGGAGTGGATACGTGGCAGTGTAGAGGAGATCCACGTGGGAGAGCACCATTCGATGAAATATGCCGTGCTCATTCTGATCTGCACTCTCAAGAGGTGTGTGTGTGTGTGCGTGCGTGCGTGCGCATGTGCACACGTGCACACGCACATGCGTGTGTGTTTGTGTGTGTGCGTTAGTGTGTGTGTGTGAGTGTGAGTGTGTGTGAGTGTGAGTGTCTGTGTGAGTGTGTGTGTGTGTGTGAGTGTGATTGTGTGTGAGTGTGAGTGTGTGTGAGAGAGAGAGAGAGTGTGTGTGTGTGTCTGTGAGATGATGAGGGTGTGAGAATGACTGCACGGGCCTCTCAGTCTCTGAGTTTCACGTGTTAGGTCTCTCAATCTCCCAGCCTTTCAGCCTCTCAGTGTCTCAGTCTCCCAGTCCCTTGTATCCCATCCCCATGCCCCATGGCCCATATCCCAAGTCCCATGCCCATGTCCCATATCCCATGCCCCATGCTCCATATCCCAAGTCCCATGCCCATGTCCCATATCCCATGCCCCATGCTCCATATCCCAAGTCCCATGCCCCATGTGCCATTTCCCATGCCCCATGCCCCATTTCCCATGCTCTGTCCGTATCCCATGCCCCATAACCCGTGCCCTGTGTGATACACTGCAGGGAAACACATGCGGGGGTGGGTGGGAGGCGGGCTGCAGGCGGGCATGGAGGGGGAGGACGTGGTGGTGTATGAGGAGCAACCGGGGGAGGTAGTGTCAGTACATGTTGCCCATGCCCTGTGCCCCATGCCCTGTGCCCCATGCCGTGTGCCCCATGCCCTGTGCCCCATGCTCGCATAACACGATGCAGGGAAACACAGGTGGCGGGGGGAGGCAGGGTGCACATGGGCATGGAGGGGGAGGACGTGGTGGTGTATGAAGAGCAACCGGGGGAGGTGGTAACTGCCTTTACGCATGCCCCGTTCCTCCACAACATCACGCACTGCTCCCCCCCCATCCACGGCCAGGTATGTTACTCCCCCTCCTGTCCTCCCACCTCTAACGAGGTAAGCTCCCCTTTCCCGTCCATGCCCCCTTCCTCTACAACATCACGCATGGCTCTCCCCCCATTCACGGCCAGGTATGTTACGCCCTAGGGATGAGCAAATGGCGAACTCGAACACGTTTGGGTTCGAGTTCGCCCGAACAACAACTTTCGCCGAACCGAACACAGTTTGGTTCGGCGAACAACTTAGGCTTCAGGACATGTTCGCCGCTCGCCCTTGGGGGCGAACATTTGTTATGTGTGGGCGAACTCGAACATGTTCGACCCGAACATGTTCGAGTTCGCCCAGGGCCACTTTCATTATAGTCACAACAGCTTGACACGGAACCTGGAGGGTTGGGAAGATAGATAGGGGGGTGGAGGGTGGGTATATAATCATGCAACGCACACTAGCATACGACACCATCATGTAGTGCTTATATAAAAGTCAAGTCACTGCTAAATTATCTCCTATCCTACGCATGCACACCACTGCTACTACCAACAACAGCATGCTCCGCGTCTGAGGTGTCGCCAGCACCCACCCCCACCTGCTCCTCCTCCTCCTCCTCCCCCTCGCCTTCAATGGCGAACTCTGGTGGTGCCTCGCCCTTGGCACGGCGGCCCTCGCCTATCCTCTATCCAGGGTGTGAGGTGTACCATGATCTGAGAATCATGGAAGCTCGCGTCCTCTGAGAGGCTAGGCGGTGCCGCTTCCAGGATATGAGGTTGCGGCCGAGGGAGAAGACGCGTTCGCTCGACGCGGACGTGGCAGGGATGGCAAGATAATCCCGGGCCATGCGCCTCAGCGTCTGCATGTTGGTGGCGCTGCGCCAATACTCCAACGCTGACACGTCGTACCGCACCCTCTCTGACAAGTACCTGCCAACCTCGTCATCCTGCACCATCCCACCCCTCCCCGCCTCCTGGCTCGCCGACAGACGCGCCGCAAGGCGTCGGCGACTAGGGAGAAACTCGGCGTCCTCGTCGTCATCCGCCTCCTCTCCCTCCTCCTCCGTCACTGGGGCAAGTGGGGTCGACTGAGGGGCAATCGCTGCAGCCCGGGCCTGGTACTCGGCCACGCGTTCGCGAACCAGCTGGATCACCTCGCCTGACGAGGGACGAGGCCTCGCCCTCCGCTCTGTGTCGGGATGCAGCGTCTCCCAGTGCGCGTCGTCGAACCACGCCGCCTTCATGGACGGGTCCAGGAAGGTGGCGATCCACAGCTCGTTGCTTGACATCAACTCATACTTCTTCAAGAGACCCAGCGCCGCCTCAATCATCGGCTTCAGCGTAGCCGATGGCCCCTTGGCCAGGCGCGACTCCATAGCGTCGATCAAGCCGTTGTAGTACGGCAGGACCATCGACACTGTAGGGTACGCCGCTCCCTCTGCGGCCTTGGAGACTTTGGCGAATGGGCTGAGGAAGGTCTTGACAAAATGCAGAGTGTCCCAGTCTGCGTCCGTCAGGCGCAAGGTGTCCATCTTCGCCTTGTCAGCCTTCAACACGCCCTGTCGGGTAGAACGTATGGGTGGGCGACGGATAGAATGGAAAGTGGGGTGGTTGAGGTTGTTGGAGGTCCGGAAAGTTGAGTCAAGCATGGCCAACAGTGCTGCAAGGGCCGGAAGAATACACGCCGACCGACATACCAACACATAAAACAGCATACACAACACCTGGCGCACACACACACCTGTGTCTGGGCAAAGTAGACAGAGATGGGTTCCTGCAGAACCCCGGCTCGCTCGACCATGTCGTGTGTCGACCCCCAGCGTGTGGGACTGTCCTGCACCAGCTTCAATGCTGGCTTCGGTTTGGCGGGGTTGCCCTGCGCGTTCAGAGTCCGCTGAAGGCCCAAGAACTTCCCCGAGCGCTGCGGCGAGTATCCTATCCACGACGCCATCTCTCTCAGAATCTTCAGCAACTTGCGGATGGCGGTCACAGCGAGTGCCGCCTTCACCGCAAGGTTGATCACGTGTGCCAGGCATCTGCGCACGTCACAAAACATTCATGGCGGAGAGAAAGGGAAGTGTGAGTACACAACACATTGGCCCACCCGCCTGTACTACAACCACAACATGTTCACATCACAGGAACACTCCCTTTCGTACCGGAAGTGCATGCGCGAGTTGAAGAAGCACTGGCCACCACCCTCCTCTGACATCCACCTGAAAGCGGCAGTGTTGCTAGAGGCGTTGTCTGAGGTGAACCCAAGACAACGCGTCTCCAACCCCCACTGCACCACCGTGTCCTCAACCACCCTCGCCATCTGCTTGCCCGTGTGCCGCCCGTGAATTTCCCGGAATTCAAACACCATTGTGCGCAGCTGGTAACCCTCGTCGATCCAGTGACCCGTTACCACCAGCCACGCCCTGTTGTTGGGTGACGTCCACATGTCGATGGTGAACGACACCCTGCACCCCAGCTCCCCCTCCTTCGCCAGCATCTCCGCGATGGCTGACTGAAGAGCAGCAGCCGAATAGACCACTGTGTCGCGGGAAACCGTCCAGCGCGAGGGGATGAAGTTTTTTTGCGCGCAGTTGCGGTTCAACAGGATGAGTAGCTCACGAAACTGGAGAGGGGAAGAGACAAGGGGGGAGAGGGTAGTACACGTCAGGGGGATGCGATAAAGGTAATATAGCACTGCACTGGGCCACACGCAAACAGTCAAAACACAAAGTGACAAACACGTCCACTAACCGCATACTTGCGAAATCAAGCATGGGATGGGATGGGGCACTTACAGCCTCGGCCTCGACGATGCGGAAGGGGAGGTCGCAGGTGACCACCAGCTTCGTGATCGCCTGCCGTAGCTGCACCGAGGTCAGTTTTGCTGTCATCCACCGCTCGATCCCTCCTGACCCATCACCTCCACCAGTTGCCATCGCTTTCCCCTTGGCGAGCTGCGGCCAAGTCTTGGCATGTGGCCACTGATAGACGTAGCCATCCGGCACTCCCTTGTAGCCCCCTCGGGGAAACGTCTCCCCAGGCAAGTGAACCGACGGGGTGTGGTAACGGTGATGCCACACATGCATGTGCGCAGTGTGGAAGCTCGCAAAGTGCCGCTCGCCCGGGGTTGTTGTGGATTGCTTCCACGAAATCCTATCTGTGCAAATCTTGCACTGACGCTTATCGTCTGCCCCTAACGGTCCGAACATCATAACTTGCCACCCCGGCCTCCTATTACCCTTGCTAGTCCTCTTACTACTCTCGGACCCTCCGTCCTCGTCTAGGAACTCGGGTGGAATCACACCCTCGCCCAAGGGCTCCCCAGTGAACGTGCAGGGATACGCCCGCTCTCTCAACTTGTTCGCTTTCTTCCTCTGCTTCGGCTCCCTAATGGTCACGGCCTTTCCCCCTCCCACCTTAACCCCCACGCTCCCCCCCCCCTTCACGCACATGCTGTGATCCCGCCTCTGTCGCCGCCCTTCCACCACCCTCTCCCACCTCCTCCTCCCGCCCCTCGGGCTCCAACCCATCCATCTCGTGGTCTTCATCATCATCATCTCCCCCCTCCCCACCGCCATGCGTCTCTGGGTCCCACGCCGCCTCGCTGTCATCCCCGCTCCCCTCAGTGTTCTCCTCCTTCTCGCCCTCACCATCCTCCTCCTCATCCTCCTCCTCACTGCCGCTCTCCGGCTGTGTCGGCGTCTGCCCCGAAGGAGGGGGCCGAGGGCCGTCGTAACGGAAAGAGCGACGAGAGGTCGGCGCCGGTACGGTAAGCAACCCCCCAACGAAGATCGCGCCGGCTCCACCCGGTCCATCCCCTACTCGCCCCTGCATAGGTCGTGGTGGAGATCCCGGTGCGCTGCCCTGAGCCCTGCCTGCACCTCGGCCTATGGATCCACCACCCCTGGACGCCATCACTCCGCCCTCGACCCTAAACCCTAAAACCCCCTAAGGCAACGTGAGCGTTGGATGGTGCCGCACCGCACGTCCCTAATGCCCGATCCGAATCCTAGAGCGAATGGTACGCCCTACTTGAGCCCTTCCCGGGAGATGCTCGCTTTCCCTCCCTAGTAAAAATTAACTCCCTACACAACGTTAAACCCTATGCTTAGTTCTTCTATCTAATCTAATGTGAGTTCGTTTACACTCCAATTATTAACGTGCACTTGCTTGCACTTAGAAGAAGGAGGCTAGGGCGGCTGTGTGAGGGAGCACTAAAGCGGCTAAACAACTTCTGAGTTTGAGCTCACGAAATGAGCTCAAACTCAAATTGGCCGCGACCTAAATCTGGTCGCGGCCAATTTTGACGCGAACACTTTTGGTGTTCGCGTCGAAGCCAAGCCGAACACGAACATGTTCGTGTTCGGCTTGGAGAGGCCAACTCCAAAGTCGAACGCCGAACATGTTCGGCCGAACCTCGAACATGTTCGGCCCGAACGAATTGGCCAAAAAAAAAGGCCTGTTCGGTTCGCCTCGAACATGTTCGAGGCGAACCGAACAGGCGTTCGGCATTTTGCTCATCCCTATTACGCCCTCACAAGCCAACGCATCCTCCCCCCCTTCCCCCCTTTCACTGAGCGCGTCTACCAGTGGATGGATGGCACGTGAGTGTCGTGTCGTGTCGTGTCGTGTCGCCTCACAGATCACCTCTTCCTTGCATGATCACATCTCTTCAGGTTTTTGAGAATTCTCAAAAACCAGATCACATCTCTTCAGGTCATCTTGGAGCGCATCAACCTGTGGATGGCACGTGAGTGTCGTGTCGCCTCACAAATCACCTCTTCCTTGAATGATCACATCTCTCCAGGTCATCTTGGAGCGAATCAACCTGTGGATGAATGGACGACTTCTAAGTTGACTGAAAAGTCACCTTCTTGCATGGTCCCATGGATTCTATTCAGCGCATCAACCAGCGGATGGATCTGCACATCCGCATGGGAGTGGACCATTTCGAGTTGTGGGACGTCTCAAAAATCACCTACTTGCATGATCCCGTGCGCTCTATTCAGGTCATCTCGGAGCGCATCTACCAGTGGATGGATCTGCACATCTGCATGGGGGTGGACCATTTCGAGTTGTGGGACGTCTCAAAAATCACCAACTTGCATGATCCCGTGCGCTCTATTCAGGTCATCTCGGAGCGCATCTACCAGTGGATGGATCTGCACATCCGCATGGGAGTGGACCATTTCTCCCTGTACGATGTGGGCGGGGTGGACCCACAACTGCGAACGCTGATTGCGGTGAGCAGCAACGCGACACATTGCTGCTCCCAGTTCTCGCCTCCTCTCATTTCCTAAGACGCATGGCCTTGGACTGCTATGGTTGGTACGTACATACAGTGTTTCTGGTTTTGGGACGTCACAAAAAAGCCTCATGGCCTTGGACCTCTATGGTACGTACGTACGGCGTGGGCGCGGTCACCACAGTGCACCTGCAAGCAACTGAGGTGGAATGGAAATTCTGATTAGGGCGCAACTGCAAACATTGATGAATCATTAAAGTACGCGGTTACACCCTATCTGTGAAGAAGTGGTTCGTGTAATCTTGAGGTAGATTTGTGTGCAACGGTATATTTGAGAGACTCATCTGATCTTAGCATCACATGACGATACCATGCTGATAGCTTTGTGTGTTGTAGCATGGATCCGATCAGCTCCTCTTCCCAGTCCAGTATGTCATGTTCCCCCTACTTCAGCTTTCTATTTGTATCCCTGCTTTGGAAAATCTTGAAAGTTACCCCCTCATCTTGCTCTCCTCCGATTCTCCTCCCTACTCACCTGCAGCCATTACTGGATGGAGGGATAGCAGAGGTCACGGATTTTCGCAACCTGGTTAACTACGAGTCCTGGTATCATGGGCAGGTGAGGGACCTGTAAGAATTCCCAACAGAAATCAACCATTTTGGTGAATTCCTTTTATCACGTGCATGTGAGGGGGTTTTGTTAATTTTTACTCAGTTTGTTGTGACTTATTGAACCATGAGTGCTGGTATCAAGACTGCGTGTCAACCAACTGCATACATATTGCTCCACCCTCGTGCCTCCTCTTCGCCCCAGCAGGTAAAGGTAGTGAACGATTATGTAAGCTACATCCCTTCCGCACGTGTGTCTTCTCTCCCTCCCACCAGGTGATGATACTGAACGAGTGTGTGTATCGCTTTCGCCGCCTCTCCAAGTGGATAATGTACCTTGACTTTGACGAGTTCATGTTTATTGATGGTCAGGTAAGCACGCCTTTATCCGAGTGGTCTATTCCTACATGCTGGCGCCCATGTCGTTGCCGCTGTGCTATGTCCTAGGCCATCCTTACGTACGAGGGGTGTGTTAGAAGACTTTCACCCGGGATGTCTTTTGAGACGTCTCAAAAGGGTGTTAGAAGACTTTCACCCGGGATGTCTTTTGAGACGTCTCAAAAGGGTGTTAGAAGGCTTTCACCCGGGATGTCTTTTGAGACGTCTCAAAAGGGTGTTAGAAGACTTTCACCCGGGATGTCTTTTGAGACGTCTCAAAAGGGTGTTAGAAGACTTTCACCCGGGATGTCTTTTGAGACGTCTCAAAAGGGTGTTAGAAGACTTTCACCCGGGATGTCAGATTGATCATAGGGAAAGGTTACAGGCTCGCTAAACTGAGGGGTAATGGACACAGTCACTCGCTACTTAACAAGCCCTTTTATCCTAGTGATCCACTGGCTGGGATTCTAAGACTAACATCCTAGCAAAGATTCACAGGCATGAATGATCTTTGGTGTTATGGCTGTGCGCTATGGAACAAGTGCTTTTAGCTCAGCGGTTCATAGCTGAGCTTTACCAACAATAAGTGCATACGGCCACACTCACTCCTTTTTTACTTTTAGTGCCATCTGCACCTTGGCTTCGGCAAGCTCATCTTTGTCAGTGGCCGCGAACATACGTATGCCCGTGCCCCACTCCGCTTTTGAGGCTTAAAAATTGGGGAGTTCACCTTCACCAATGGCCATGTAAGTACGCGTGCCCATGCCCCACTCCGCTCCTCCTCTAGAGACGGTTTTATGTCCCAAGGGTCTTTGTTTATAGTGGAAGAGCAGCAAATCTGAAGTTTGGAAAAATCTTGAAGCAACTAGTGGAATGAAGATGTATACATTTTTATTTCTTGAGGAAAAAAAACAACCAGTGAATCTCGAAAGCAGAACTTTACCCGCCTCTCTCCCCTCCCCTCTCACTTTCTCACACACCCTCCTCCACAATGCCCACGCCTCTCAGTGTGCACCACTTCCCAATGCCCTACGAGGGAATTCCCATCTCAAGCCCTACAAGGGAACGCCTAATAAAAAGAAAGCATGCCCTATAATGTTCTCCATGAATCCTCTCCCTCCATCCCTCCAGGAGCGTGTGCCCACGCCGCTCAGCGTGAATCACTTCCTCATGCCCTACGAGGGAATGCCCTACGTCACCCACGGCAGCCTCTGGTGGGACTTGGATCGCTGCCTGCCCTCCCAAGGCCCTGACGGTATGTTCTCTAGCCTGGTTGCATTTTCTGATGCGGGCAGAACATCGGTCGGGCGGGCCTGTGCCTGACTGGCTTGCCTTACATGAGTCACGGCAGCCTCTGGTGGGGCTTGGATCGCTGCCTGCCTTCCCAAGGCCCCGGTGGTATGTTTCTGTGCCGTCTTGCAGCCTGCCCTCTAAACCCATTTGCTCTCTTGCTTGGCTGGGCTCTCTGCTGTGGGAACTGCGTGCATGGATTGGCTTGGGCCTATCCCTGCCTGACTGCCCTGCTCACTCACGGCAGCCTCTGGTGAGACTTGGATCGCTGGCTGCCCTCTCCAAGCCTATATGGTACGTTCTCTTGCCCATAGAATGTTCTAATACGTATGCTTCGGCAAGGCCCGCTGTGCCCGCTAACACTTCATCTGCTCCCTTTCTCTTTTCAATTCCATTCACAGAGCCCAGGTGGCCGCTGGAGCGCATGCTGTGGCACGGGCCAGGGGTATTTTGTAAAGCCAGGGACAACCACACCAAGCCCACCATGTGCCTGGACCACTACGGCCACCGCAAGCTTTTTGTGGACCCCAGACGGGTGAGCGTGCTCTTGCCTTGAAGCCCCAGAGTGGTGTTCGATTCTGAGGGGGCTCAACAAGCATATTATTCTGTAAAGCCAGGGACAACCATACGAAGCCCACCATGTGCATGGACCACCACAGCCACCGCAAGCTTTTTGTTGACCCCAGATGGGTGAGAATGCTCTCTTCCTGCTTCACAGGTGCGAATGTTGGATGAACCCACACGTTCGACTTTTGAGGCGCCACACATGAACCTTCTATCCACTCAGACTCCTCGACCTTCTAACCCTCTCTCTCCCTCCCCTTCCTGCCTCACAGGTGCGAGCAGTGATGAACCATGTGGTTCAGGAACCCACTATTGGCGGTGGGGGAGCAGACCTGTCTACGGACGTTCTGAGACACCACCACTTCCACGTGAGTGCTTTTTGGCGTCTTGTGTTCTGAGTCGACTCAAAACACATGTGGTGCAGGGACCCACTAGTGGGGCGCAGACCTGCCTATGGACGCTCTTAGACACCACCACTTCCACGTGAGTAATTTTTGTGTCTTGTGTTGTGAGGTTACTAAGAGAACACGCGGTTCAGGAGCCCTTTACAGGCGGCGCAGACCTGTTTATGGACGCTCTGAGACACCACCACTTCCACGTGAGTGATTTTTGGTGTCCTTGTGTTCAAGTGGTACTTACTTGAACAGTGGCTCCTTGCCCCACTGACATTCTCAGGCACCACCACGTCCGTATGAGTGCTCTGTCGCATCTTTGTGTTCATGTTGCAACTTCCTGAACCTTCCTGGACAGTCCCTCAATTACCGTCATTGCCATAGATAGTGTTTCCTTGCTTTTTGTTCATCTTGCAACCTCTTGATCAGGCACTGTCTGACTACTGACCGCCTCAAACAGGCACGCAACTGCCATGTATGGACAAGTTTCCATGGGTACCTCTGATTGCCGCGTAACTGACCTCTGTTGACTTGTTTTTCAGGGCATTATCAGGCAGGGCGTCAAGGAGTGCACGCCGATACCAAAGAAGCACGACAAGGATCCCACTTATCACTGAACTCTGCTGATGCGTTGACCTCTGTTGACTCTCGTTGACCTCTGTTGACTCTCGTTGACCTCTGTTGACTTATCTCCAGGGCATAATCAGGCAAGGCATCAAGGAATGCACGCTGATAATGAAGGAGCATGACAACATAACCTGGTGGTCCCGGGGAAGGGAGGAAGCTGACAGAATGCAATACGTGCGCACACACCCCCTCGACATGCAATACCTTGTTGCGGCACACAGGGTGAGTGGGTGGCTGGTGGTTGGACAGAGACAGCCTCACATACTGCATGTACGTCCCATGGGAGAGATGAGAGGAGGCAGACAGGATGCAATACGTGCGCACACACCCCCTCGATATGCAATACCTCATTGCGGCACACAGGGTGAGTTGCTGAGGGTGCACGATCTTGTATAGACCCAACAAAGTGGTGGTCACATGTGAGGAGCGGTAGAGAGTGGTGGAGAGCTGCTACAGACGTTGCAGATGCATGAAACATGGACGGTGGAGTCGTGCGGGCTGATGGGATGTTTCAAACCACGCAGCCTTCTGTTATGAATCCCCTATTCACATGCTACCCAACATCATGCTCAATCTGCATCACATACTGCTCATTGTGTGCAGTCACAGTGGTATAAGTCACGCTCATAGTGCATTCACATCATGCACATAAAGCACAACCATAGTGCACATGGTGTATGTTTGGCTGAGGCTTATGCGTCCATCTTGCATTTCGTCGTTGTGCTGTTTGCAACGCAGTGGTGGAGAGAGCACGTGCAGAGGACACACCAAGGCTTGTAGTGCCATGGCATATCAATGAGATGAATTTTGAGTTGAAGACATCCAGGATATAGGGACCTGTGTTTTTACAGTGCGTACTTTGTAGGCACCCCCTGTTTTCGCAGAAAACCATATAGTACCCCCCCCTCCCTTTTTCTTTAACACATACCGTAAGTGTTGAGTTTATATTATATGGTAATGGGCCTTGCGATGCAGCGGCACTTGGTCAACATGGTGCGAGGGGATACGTGCACAATTTGACATCGAAATCCAGAAGAAAAAAAGAAAAGAAAGGAAAAAAAAAAAAGCAATTTTACAGGAAACCCAAGATTTTGTAAAACCTCAGTAATAGTGGTCTAGGTTCGAGGCTGTTATGCGTTTTTTAAGCTCGTCGGTTCCGCGCATAACGGTAACAATGCCGCTTCACCCACTGACCGGCTGCCCGGAGTTCCCCTAAGGGCCGTAACTTTTTTTTTTTTTTTGGTTGCGAAGCAACCCTTTACGATCGATTTTGACAGCTTTTTTTTCATGTTTTTTTTTATTTTTAAAACATGAAAGAAAAATCCGTAAGCTACAGTACCACCCTTCCCATTGTGCATGTTGAATATTGAAAGCAGTCTTTGTAGTAATTTTGTGCGTAAATGCTATAGTGTTTGTATTATATATGTTACTGTTTGATGTTGTTGTGATAATTGCATGTAATAAATGTTATGAATACTAGTAATAAATTACACGTCACGCATGCTTTAATGAATGTACTGATGAGGCATGATATATCGATGCATAACTAATACACATATATGCATGAGAATGTTTTTGTATGCATATAATATGCTGAAATGCACCACACCAGTATATCATACAAATGCGTGATAGTTAACGACCCAAAAACTAGGCTACCGTATCCCCTGCCTAGCATGGGGGGTGTGAGAATAGTAGGTGTGGGGCCTAGGCTTAGTAGCCTACGCCCACACTAGGAGGTAGGTGGGCTTGCTCTAGAACTAGGAGTTAGGGTTTACGAAGGAGAATTGGAAGGAAGAATGACTGGACTAGCAAGCAGCAGGACACACAAATAGAAAACCCTAAGGGGTTGTACTCAGTATTGAGCACCCCACTGCAGGCTAGACAAATAACATTCTGACACACCCCCATAGCCAAAGTGGGGTGTAATCAGCAGAGCAGGCAAAGCAGTACAAGCTCAGGGTGGATCACAAAATCACCACGCATTCTGAGCACAAGTTAAAGAAACAATAGTTTAAAGTTAAGAATTATGAGCAAAGCTAGTGGTAGTCACAACGGGCAAGTGAGGAGGAGGAGAGAGAGTGAGGGGAGAGGAGATAGGAGGAGACGGCTGAAGCTGCAGACACACGGGCAACAGGAGGCAGACTGGCACAGCGGCTACCAGACTAAGCGCCCGGACTACAGGAGTAACAGGCCCCGCGGCTAAAGTAGCGGCAGACGAGCAACGGACCCACGGGCGGCTGGCGTAGAAGTCTAGCTCACTGGGCTACCGGGACAGCGTCCCGGACTACAGGTGCTGCGGACTACAGTACGGCAACTTCCATGCAGCTTCCCCAAACAGTCCCACCCCCCTGACACACACCCGCTGCTACACCGCTAGCTCCACTCCCACGCACCCCCCTTAAACCCTAAACCCCAGTCTCCCACACAACCACCCCCCTCAGCGACAGCTGCAGCAGTGGGAGACGAAGGAGGAGGAGGAGCAAAGGGAGGAATGCACACCAGCCACCCCCATACCCGCAAACGGGGGGGGGGGGGGGGGGGAGAGCAGAAACAGTGCGCACGAGGGTGCAGACAGTAGCAGAGCGCACGAGGGCGCGAGCACGAGGCACGAGCAGCACCAGGCACATGCAGCACAGGGCAGCACAGGCACGGGCAGCAAAGAGCAGCACACGCACGGGCAGCAACAGGCACAGGCAGCACAGGCACGGGCAGCACAGGCACGGGCAGCACAGGCACGGGCAGCACAGGCACAGGCAGCAACAGACACAGGCAGCACAGGGCAGCACAGGCACGGGCAGCAACAGGCACAGGCAGCACAGGCACGGGCAGCACAGGCACGGGCAGCACAGGCACGGGCAGCACAGGCACAGGCAGCAACAGGCACAGGCAGCACAGGGCAGCACAGGCACGGGCAGCAACAGGCACAGGCAGCACAGGCACGGGCAGCACAGGCACGGGCAGCACAGGCACGGGCAGCACAGGCACAGGCAGCACAGGGCAGCACAGGCACGGGCAGCACAGGCACAGGCAGCACAGGCACGGGCAGCACAGGCACGGGCAGCACAGGCACGGGCAGCACAGGCACAGGCAGCAACAGGCACAGGCAGCACAGGGCAGCACAGGCACGGGCAGCAACAGGCACAGGCAGCACAAGCACGGGCAGCACAGGCACGGGTAGCACAGGCACGGGCAGCACAGGCACAGGCAGCAACAGGCACAGGCAGCACAGGCACGGGCAGCACAGGCACAGGCAGCAACAGGCACAGGCAGCACAGGGCAGCACAGGCACGGGCAGCAACAGGCACAGGCAGCACAGGCACGGGCAGCACAGGCACGGGCAGCACAGGCACGGGCAGCACAGGCACAGGCAGCAACAGGCACAGGCAGCACAGGGCAGCACAGGCACGGGCAGCAACAGGCACAGGCAGCACAAGCACGGGCAGCACAGGGCGTACCGGGTCCAGGGGCGGCAGTTGCTGCAGGCGCTGGCGGCGGCTGCTGCTGCAGGCTCTGGCGGCGGCTGCTGCTGCTGGGCGGAGGTGGCTGCTGCGGCAGAGCGGCGGCGGCTGCTGCTGCTGGTAGAGCGGCGGCTGCTGCTGCTGGGTCGGTGGCGGCAGCTGCTGCAGGCCTGGCGGCGGCTACTGCTGCAGGCTCGGGGGCGGCTGCTGCTGCAAGCTCTGGCGGCGGCTGCTGCTGCAGACTCTGGCGGCGGCTGCTGCTGCAGGCTCTGGCGGCGGCTGCTGCTGCAGGCTCTGGCGGCGGCTGCTGCTGCAGGGCGGCGGCGTCTGCTGCTGCAGGCCTGGCGGCGGCTGCTGCTGCAGGGCGGCGGCATCTGCTGCTGCAGGCCTGGCGGCGGCTGCTGCTGCAGGGCGGCGGCGGCTGCTGCTGCAGGATCTGACGGCGCCCCGCGGGTCCCGCAGGGGGCGTCGCGACGAGCAGGGGCGACGCCCCGCGGGTCCCACAGGGGGCGTCGCGACGAGCAGGGGCGACGCCCCGCAGGTCCCGCACGGACGTCGCGACGAGCAGGGCGACGCCGCGCTGGTCCCGCAGGGGGCGCCGTGACGAGCAGCGGGGAGGGCAGCGCGCAGGCCCCCCCTGAGGGCGCTCCGACGGACGGGAAAAACGCCGCGCCCCCCGAGCGCGCGGCGGGCAGAAAAAGCCGCCACGCGTTCGAAGCGCGTGGCGGGATAAAAATGCACCACGGGGCGCGCGGCGGATAATACGGCAGCGGAAGTAGGTGGTGGGCCCGATGAACTAGGCGGCAGGATCTTGCCGGCTCTAGATACCATGTGAGAATAGTAGGTGTGGGGCCTAGGCTTAGTAGCCTAGGCCCACACTAGGAGGTAGGTGGGCTTGCTCTAGAACTAGGAGTTAGG